CGGTGCTCTTGATATTTATAATAAGTAATCTGGCAGCAACTTTATTAATTAAGGTTATTTCAGCCGTGCATAACCCTCTTACCAGCAGGAGTTCATATGATGTTGGTTTTTATAGGTGTGTCCCCCCCCCCCCCCCTTCATTTGTTCTTTTAAATACCCCACACCCCATTTTTTTTTTTTTTGAATTTTTTTTGCCCCCCACACCCCCCCCAATTTTTCCTATAAATACCCTCACACCCCAATTTTTCCTATAATTTACTTATTCATCAAATATTTCAAACTTGTGCTTCTAAATTGACTTTTCATTTATTTTCTTTTCCTTTATCTATTTAAAAGTATTTCTTTTAATTTACTTATTCATTAAATATTTCAAAAAAAAAAAAACAAAAAAAAAAAATTTCAAAATTTCCGAGCCGACCCGGAACCGGCCCGGATAGGCCCGTGAACCGGCCCGAACCGGCGGGCCGACCCGGCCCGGTGAACCGTGCACGCCACGGGCCGGTTCCAGTTCCGGAAAATGTGAACCGTGAACCGGTCCGAACCGGCCCGGAACCGGCCCGAACCGGCCCGTGGCCGTGTCTAGGGGCAACGTCGGAGACCGGCGGTGACCGAAGGTCTCCGGTGGTGGTGGGTCAAAATTGTGGTCAAAATTGAAATTATTGTTAAAATTTGTTAATTGATAAAATTTGATTAAATTGGGGTGTAAATCATGAAATTTGAGTTGAATTGGGTTTCAATGAATTGGCCGTAATTTTGGTATATATAAAAGAATTTTCCTTATTTGCTAATAAGTTTGAATGAGCTGATTTATTTGAAAGTCAAAAAAGTTGTATGTCCCTTTTTTAGTTAAATGCCCTTGTCATGGGCCTTTTTGTGATTAACCTTTTAAATTTCAGGTAAACATAGTTTAACATAAATTAAGCATAAATAAAAAAACATTAGAACCAACATTTTTTTCTATTATTTGTTTATTGGTTTTTTTTTTTAAATTAACTTCTGCTTTTACTTTTGCTTCTTTTAAAATAAGTTGTTTTAATCTATTTTTTTAAAAGTATCTATGGACCTGCTTATTCTATTTTCATTTTGCAGAATATATGCAAACACCCGCAACGTTTAAAAATAAACACTTACTTTACTCTTTATCACTAACTAACTTCTACTTTTGAATAAATTTTTACAAACACTGTCTTAGTATTTTTAGAACATACTTAGAAAACTAATATATATTTGTTTTTCTAGAATATGGATTCTTTAGATATTAGTTTTACATCGTATTATCAAATTGATCATGATGGTCATTAGAATTTGCCTTGGGTACAAATAAAATAACTTTATCATATGGACTATCAATCTAGTTTGAGAGTCCCTTGTTCGTATCATAGTTGATGTTGATCACAAAACAATATTGCGACTCTCGAGAATGGCTGGCTATATGAAATCACTGGGAGGACGTTAAGGTCATCCCTGAAAATGAAGCTAAACCAAATTCAGTATGGTGGTAATGTCGAATAACCAATTTTACAGTTATTGGAGTCCTATCGTCAAGGAAAGGGGCATAGTCGAACAATGGTCACTTCCAACCTCAAAGCTATACAATTTATGAAAGAACTTGGTGACAACGACAAAGAGTTAAGGTTTGCTGTGGGTAAATCTGTTGACCATAACGAAATAGAGCCTATGGTTAATCAGGCTAAAGACATTGGGATACCTGATTTTCCCGCTTTGAAATCTGGCTGCCTGTATGAACTCAAGGAACCTCAAAGATATACAATTTATGAAAGAACTTGGTGACAACGACAAAGAGTTAAGGTTTGTCGTGGGTAAATCCGTTGACCTGAACGAAATAGAGCATATGGTTAATCTGGCCAAAGACATTGGGATACCTGTTTTTCCTGCTTTGAAATCTGGTTGTCTGTATGAACTCAAGAGTATGAACTCAAGGGCAGTGATGGGTATGAACTCGAGGGTATGAACTCAAGGGCAGCGCTGGGTATGTAATTTGAAATATGGTTGTCTGTATGAACTCAAGGGCAGTGCTGGGTATGAACTCGAGGGTATGAACTCAAGGGCAGCGCTGGGTATGAACTCAAGGGCAGCACTTCAAGGGCACTGCCTGTATGAACTCAAAGGCAGCACCGTTAGGGTAATTTCTGAAGCTGAGGCTAAAACAGTTTATTTAGTTTGTACAAGATGTAAGTTTGTTTGATTTCGTTATTTTTTTTTTTTTTTAAATTATGTTTGTCGTAACTTTTTTTTTAAGTTGTCTGGAAGTCCGGAAGCTGCCGAGGAGGTACAGTACATTACCCAGGTCATGGATTTTGTTTTCTTCGATACCCAATTTTTTTATCGTATAATCTAAAAAAATTTTTTTTTTTTAATTTTGTAAGCAGGTAGCATATTATGAATCAGCTGTATGGAAAATTTAGTGCACTTAATTGTTTGGATAAGTGAAAATTATATAATATTTATGCTTCTGATACCGGCGCGAAAGAGGTTCGTGTTTTTCACCTTACCACCAGAGTAAGAAGATCTATTATTAAAGAAAATAAGTTAGTTATTGTTAACAAGTGTATCTATTCACATCGCATAGTTATGAACCGTTTTCACATCTATTTACGTTTTCATATTCGCAGTTTTCTTTTCTCTCTAATTCTTGCTTAATTTTTTAAAATGTTATTGTTTATAATATATGCGTGTTGTTCATCTTTCACTCTGCGGGCAGTCCACATCTAAAAATTGCCTCGACTGTTTAACGATGATCTAATTGTGATTGAGGTAGTCACATGTAATACATATATGTATGTGTGCGGCGCCAATTGTAATAATTGCTATGCTTTCACTAAGATATATGTATAGTTTTTAACTACCGCATCTAGAAATTGCCTCGACTGTTTAACGATGTTCGAATTGTATTATTAAGGAATTAATAAATATAAGACGAACTATTTTTTTTAAATATTTTATATGTATTTAGTATATTATAATTTTATTATTATTATTATTATTATTATTATTATTATTATTATTATTATTATTATTATTATTATTATTATTATTTATAATTGACAACTCGAAAAATAGTATTTTTATTTATTTGTTTGTTTTTGCATCATTGGATTCATTCATTGTATCAAAAGTATTGAAAATCAAAATATAAAGTCGGGCTGTCATCTTTGACGACTTAACATCAACTTGATCATTATTTATAGTATTATTATTATGGATAAATTACACCCACACCCCTATAGTATGCTTAAATAATTTTAAGGTCCCTATGGTATCGATAATTACACTCACCTCCTGAAACGTAGTTAGAAACTCTAACGGGATAATGCATTGGATACATTATTTCGATAGCGTTCTAATGGACTATTATTTTTAGCTAGTGGTGGAGATAACATAGAGTTATGGGGAGTTATGGGGTGACATGACTCCCCCAATATTTCTTAAATCACTCATAACTCTTTGTTGTCTCCACCACTTCCTGAAACCAATAGTCCGTTAGAACTCTATTGTAATAACGTATCCAATACATTATCCTATTAGAGTTTATAACTACGTTATTGATACCACATGGACCTTAAAGTTATTTAAGCATACCTCAGGGGTGTGGGTGTAATTTACCCCATTATTATTATCAACAACTAACACGATTTCAACACAAAATCAAGGGCATTTTAGTCTTATAACATGAATCCGTAATTATACTCCACGTACAGGGGTAGAAAGGTAAACCCACCTCGTTCCTGCCGATTTCTCACCTTCGTCTTTTTGCTCACCTGAATATAAAGAAAAGCTGCGTCTTTTTTATTAAACCCACATTCCAGAAATACTCTAAATTTTCTCTCTATTTCCATAATTACTCAATTCGGAAACCTAATTATTGTAATAAATTCCAGAAGAAAACCTAGGTTGATATGTGTGGCGGAGCTATTATATCCGATTTCGTAGCGCCGGCGAGCCGAACGTCGCGTCGGCTGACGGCGGATTTGCTATGGGGCAGCGGAAGCGCCGATCTGAACAAGAGGAAGAAGAATCCGGTTAGCTACCACTCCAAGCCGCTGAGATCTAAGCCGATCGTTGACTTGGACGATGATTTCGAAGCTGATTTTCAGCATTTCAAGGATTATTCCGACGATGAAGGCGAGGTTAATGTCAAAACTCCGTTCGCTTTATCTGCTTCGGAGAACTCTGATTTTAAGGGTAACGCCGTTGACTTTATTTTGTATACATTAATTTTGTTAATAGATTGGTATGTGTGTTTGACTCGCTTGGTGAACTGAAAGATATATGGATTAATTTAAGAATAAATGATGTTTATGAACTATGAACATATTCTAGAAGTTTCCTTGCTTGTATGAAATAAAATGATTAATTTGTATTATTTATTTATTTATTTATTATTCTGTGTTTATTTCTGTTGATGAAAAAGGATATTCAATTTATTTGTTGTATCGGATTTACGTTAATCTAAGAAACTTTGCAGTTCATTTGGTTTGGTGGATTAATTCCTATTAAAATTACTGTTTGTAAATAATGGCTTCAAAAAGTCTTCAATCATTTTTTTTCTTTTTCACCACAAAAGAAGGATGCAAGGTTATATTCTTTTCCCATTGAGGGTAATTATAACAATCTTTATTCATATGGTGCTCGAGATTGAGTTGTACGTCGTCATGTCTTCTAGTCGATCTAGTCCTTGAGCCCGTTTTATTAGCGGTCCAAAGCCGGACTAAATTTCTTTAGCTTTGGTATTTATGTTATATTTTGACCAATCTGGCTACCCATTAATTCCTTTTGGTCTCTTTCTGAAGGTATGAAAGCTACAGAGTCTGCCGATTCGGATGACGAAGCTGATAAGTCCTCGAAGAGAAAGAGGAAGAATCAGTATAGAGGGATCCGACAGCGTCCATGGGGTAAATGGGCAGCTGAGATTCGTGATCCAAGTAAAGGGGTTCGAGTTTGGCTCGGTACTTTTAACACTGCTGAGGAGGCTGCAAGAGCTTATGATACCGAGGCTCGAAGAATCAGGGGCAGCAAAGCAAAGGTGAATTTCCCCGAAGAAGCTCCAGCTGCTGCCTCAAGGCGCACAGTTAAGGCGAATTCTCGTCAAGTTCTTCCTAAGGAAATCTCGGAGCCCAATGTGAACGCAAATTTGAACTTCATGAACATGCTAAACGACGACTGCTATGACTCAATGGGTTTTCTTGAAGAGAAACCCCAAATGAAGCTAAACCCACTAACCCCAGTTGATGGGACAAACGTTTACTTTAACTCTGATCAGGGTAGCAATTCTTTTGACTGCTCGGACTTTGGTTGGGGTGAAAACTGTGCAGCAAAGACACCAGAAATATCGTCTGTGCTATCAGCTGTAATCGAGGATGAGCCAGCTCAGTTCTTGGAGGAGGATTTTGCGGGCCCCACAAAGAAAGCGAAGGCAAATCCGGAGGAACTTGTAACTAGTGAGGACCTGTCAGCTTTCGACTCTGAGATGAAGCTCTTTCAGATGCCGTATCTTGAGGGCAATTGGGATACTTCCATCGATGCTTTCCTTAACGGAGATGCAACTCAAGATGGTGGGAATGCAATGGATCTTTGGTCTTTTGATGATGTTACGTCAATGCTTGACGGAGTCTACTGAGGAGTGCTCGTTTCTCTTGCTGGTTTTTCTGTAAATAAGGCTACATGTCGGTGCTTTTCCTCCATTTTGATGTTCTTGTTGTGTTTGTTTATGGTTTATCGATTTGATGTATTCTTCTTCTTCGTTTTCTTATTCGGTTTTATAGGTTGCTTTTGTTGCTGGTGATCGAAGGAGGGCAAACGGTTGAGCATGCTTATGCCATGGATGTTGTTATATTTAGGTTCTGCTGCTTTGTTGTGGTACATAGGTAAACTACTACTAGGTTGAATTTGTGTGTTTTTATTCAGACTATTTTGAGGTTTGATTTTGAGAACTCTCTTATGTATGATTAACTACTTTGCTGCAAACTTAAAACTCTAATGTTATAACTATATGTTGTATGTTGAGATTTCTTTATTATGTGTTACAAATAATTGTGCCCTCCACCTTTTCTTGAATTATGTGTTTTTGTTTTGTTGTCTTTTTTTTAATTAAAATTGATTAGAATAATGGGAGTGGAACTAGTGGATTCAATATCAAAATAGCTACTTGCCCACCATGGTAGGTGAGAATGAAAAGTTGTAGGTTAGGAGTTTCATAGTTGGGAATTGACTAAAATATCCCTTGGTTTTATTGGTGATTAATTAAATAATTTTTAATGAGAAAAGATCCCAAAATCATTTCTTGAGAAACCTTATTAAGTGCAGTGGCAGCAACAAGAAAGGAATATTCCTCTTCTGATTCAACAAAAACCTCAAAGATCAAAGGTTAAGACATCATATAATTCTCCAAAAAGAAAAAAAATGAAGTGCTTAATCCAAAAATGATTAAAGAAGCTTCCTCAAATCAATCATCTTGTAAGAATTCAAGAATCCCATTCTCCATCAAGAACACTTGCTTATTTCTTCTCCTTTTCATTTTCTTGATTATTTTCTTCCTAGGGCTCCCTCTTTTATGCATTATCTTGATTTTAAAGCCGCAAATGCCCGATTTTTCTCTCCAAACGGTTAACGTGGAATCGTATAAGCTCGATTTGAGCTCCCAAGACCTTGTTGTTTCATCGGTTTTTTCTCTCAACTTGAGAGCCGAAAATCCGAATAAGATTGGACTAAGCTTTGATACCTCCAAGTTTCATGTCCTTAGCCGAGGGTTAGTAGTGGGATTGATTAGAATTCCTCAGTTTCATCAGCCTCCATTGAGCAAAAATGTTAGCATCGAAACACGAGTATTGTTCGAATGCGTAAACATTAGTGAAATAATGTACACAAATTCGATGAACGACGGCTCGTCAGATGGAGCTTCTGATATCAGAATATTAGGTGACGTTGGAGCAAAGATTCGGATTTTCAACATCACCTTGCCGAAAATCAAGGTAGTAACTTGATGAAAAATTTACGAAATACATTTTATATATTTACTTAAGAATATCCACACTTACCGTTTGTTTTACGTGTTCTTAGGTTGCTTTGGATTGCGATATAAATGTCGACCGGTCGAAATTTTCGGTTAGTAATGAAGTTTACAGCATGAGATGGGATCATAATCACTTGGTATATATACGGAACTCTTACGATTAATTAATTAAGTTATTTTAATATTTCTTTGATTCTAATCGCAATTATTAACTAATTAATTATAATTTGCAGATATCACTTCCCCTCAATTCACAAACAGTCTCAAAGAAATGCTCTATAGCTATTCTGGTTTAGCATAATCAATCCCATGGAAATTCTTTTTTCTTTTTTTTTTTTGTAAATATAATTGAATATTCCTATAATTGGCTTTCTTCAGCAATCTATTTGCAAAGCCCACAAGATTGCTCGTGGGAAATAGCCTATGTAACTAATTTTCTTGAAAAATTCCGGGCAAATTATGGTCAACCCCAAGTTAAGGTCAAATTACGAAAATATTTCCCTTATGTTTGAATAATTCTAATCACTCACTGAATTATGTATTGACTTATAAATTCATCCTTGCGGTGTCAGAGTTACCTATTGAATGAGGGGTTTCTTCTTAAAAAAAATGTAGTTGATGGCATAGATGTAAATATCCAAACATAAGAGATTTTTTCGTAATTTGACTTTACTTTAGGGGTGGCCATAATTTGCCAAAACAATATGTACATTGAGAAATACTATGCTTCATCGAATGGAATACAACATGCATATTTTTAGCATTCATCAAGTATAAATTAACGATAAAAATAAAAGTTCACTTGATGTAGCATAGAAATCACCAAACTGAAACGATTGAATGGAAATATGAAACATGTTATTTATATCTTTAAGCTTTATGAACTACGAACAAAAAAGTCAACACCATAATTACGTAGTCATCAATCTTTCTTATTATAGAAAATTAAAACAAATTGCACGTGAAGACAGATCCAAAATCTACGATTATATATATATTATATATAAATACAATTAATATTTAATAGCACACACATAAACACACACTAGCTGGTCTCACTATATCTTGCTTCTCTTTCAACATATATTACAAATTCACACCTAATTACTTAGCAACTAACAAAAAACCCAAAAAAAATAAAAATGTCAAATAATTTACCATATAAGCTTTTCATCTTGATTATTATGGTTTCAATCCCAGTAGTAATCAGCAGCAGCGGCGGAATGAGAAAAGACCATAATGCCCTCTTCTTCTTCGGGGACTCGTTTTTCGACCCGGGGAACAACAACTACATAAGCACCACCACTCTCGACCAGGCCAATTTCTGGCCCTACGGCGAAACGTACTTCAACTTCCCCACCGGAAGATTCTCCGACGGCCGTTTGATATCTGATTTCATTGGTGAGCTTTAATTCGTCATCAACGAAGACGAAAAAACACGCATCGGAATTGCGATTAATATGCTTGATTCTCTTTTTTGTATATTTGTTTGATGATTAGTGATTTTAAATTTGTGGTGTGTGCAAGGTGATAGCTGAACATGCACAAGTGGCATTGATTCCTCCATATTTACAGCCAATCAGAAACGAGCAGATTAATTACCATGGGGTAAATTTTGCTTCAGCTGGAGCTGGGGTTTTATCTCAGACTTTTCAAGGAATGGTACACATTTTCCTCCATTTTTTGTTTTCCTTTTTTACCCCTCATGCAAAATACAAATAAATTTATTCAAATTTATGCATTTATTGAAATTCTAAAATAAATAAATGTCGACGATAATCGATTCTTTGAAAAGATTTATTAGAGCACCAAAATATCGACACGTTGGGCATGACTTTACGTAAACGTCACTAAGAATAAAAGTTACTAATGAATTATGGATCCCCCACACTAACAAAATTTGTAGCTAGGGTTGATTTGATGTCTTTTCGTCACTTCGCTCGATCACGTGTAACACAATATAAGAGAAACTATGTTAATTCAGGTTCGCATACGATTAGCTGTTAATTCATTCATTACCTGAAAAACAGAATCTATGTTGACCGTAGTTTGTGCTTTTTAGGTGGAGGATCGGAACCCATTTTAATTTGGAACTTGTAAGAGAATGTAGTCGAACTTTTGGGTCTAAATTTTCGGATTTTCTCGACCCAATTAATTTTTTTATTTTCCTAAAAATAAATAAAATATTACAAAAATTCAGGCAAAGTCCCAAAAAATGAGAGATGGACAATTATTGCCATCAATTGCTCAATCTAAAAACATGTACTTGCATAAGGTCCAACCCATGTCGACAGGGAAAGATTCTCTATCAAATTATAAATATATGATTTTTTTTTTTATTTTTTTTTTATTTTTTTTTGGTTAGATTACACAATTTTAAAATATAGTTTCGCATAAGTCTTTTTCAATCATAAATTTCAAAATAATGCAGATGTTTTTGGACAAGTGAAAGTGATGTCTTAGCTAAATTATTTACAAGGGAACACAATGATTATTAATAGTCCAAAAGAGTTTTATTATAAGTCAATGAAGCCAACATTATATTAGTGAAAAACCTAATATTCATTTGTTTTTAAGTTAGGTTCACCACCACTGCAATTAATTTTTCATTTTTGAATAATTTACCCTTTTTTTTTTTTTTAAATTTACTTTGTGTGTTCTTTTCCCAATTTCTTGTGTAGCTTGTAGATGACTATTTAGGGGAGCTAATTAAGTGTAAGATTGCCAAACTATTTTTCTACTATTAGATTTAGTGTGGTTTACGTCTCTCGTATGATTTGTAAGTTATTTTACGAGAGTGTAGGTTCATCCAGCGCACATGTATAGTTAGTTGCGGGTTCTTTTATTATCAGGAGGAAAAAAAAAAGTAACGTGTCAACAATATTAGGGTTAGTAAAACACCCATAACATCTTTTTGTCGCAATTTACTGGTTCTTATTATTTTTTATTTATTCTACATCTGATGAAATACACGGTTAACTATTTATCGATTATTGTCATTATCGCACATATATACAAGTGGATGTCTGTAAAATATGTATGATGTTATAAATGTGCGTGTCAGAATACATCCTGATTAAGCTAACCGGAAGTATAATAGTATCACATTCATTACATCTGAAATGCTATTCATAGAGCGACATTTACTGGCTTCCAGTGCGAATTTATTTAATATACTTTCTCTCTTTTTTTTTTCTTTTTTTTTTTATTTTTACTTGAAAATCAATTCAAGTAGATAGTGGGCCCGGGAGAAATTTCCTCTTGGCCTTGTATGAGAAAAAAGGCCAGGCCCAAAAACGACAAGCTATATCTGTGTGGAGTCAGAAGCCCACATGAGGCATGGCCCACAAACCCAGTAATTAGCTAGGCTTAGGGTTTTGTCATTCACATGTCAAAATCATGACCACAGTCCGGTTCTGGGCCGGTTCGCGTTCCGAACCAGTGGTTCAGATTCATCTCGGACTCGGTGTGTGGCTAAATAAACATTTTCTTTTTAATTTTCGTTAAACCGGTGGTTTCGGTTCTGGTTCAACATTTTTATGAACCTGAACCGATCATTAATAATCGGTTCCTGTTCCGATTTGGGTTGACACGGTTCAGGATTCGGTTCCCGGTTGAAACGGACTCAAGTAATTTGGATCCGAATAGTCACTTTTTTTAGGACAAGTATTTGATAGCAATTAGGACTATAAAAATGTTGTAAATACTAATTAATTAATTAATTATTATTCCGTTTTCAATAGAAAACGGAATTTTGGAAATTGAAACCAAAAAAGTTGTTTCAAAATCGGAAATATTTCGGATCCGCAAAATTCGAAAAATTCTATTTTTTTTATTCTTGATTTTCATCCAAAATGTCATATCTAAAAATATTCACTACTGTTTCAGGTAATTGATCTGAGAACACAGCTTAGAAACTACAAGAAGGAAGTTGCTCAATTAAGCCAAAAAACTGCAAGAAATGCAGTATATTTTTTCAGCATTGGCACCAATGATTATATCAGCCAATTCCTCTTAAACTCCACTGTCTTTGCATCTTATCCTCACTCAAAATACGTCGACATGGTGATCGGGAACTTGTCAATCGTCGTTAAGGTACGTTTCAGTTTCTACAATTACACATATTTTTACATATTTCTCAATAACCCATTAAAAAAAATTTGTGCAGGAAATATACAAAAAAGGGGGCAGAAAATTTGTGTTTCTAAATTTAGGAGAATTGGGTTGTTTGCCGGGGCTAAGAATTCTTCGACCAGAAAGAGATGGTGGTGGATGTTTGGAAGAAGCGTCACATTTTGCAGAATTGCATAACAAAGAACTCGAGAAGTTGGTGTCGAGAATGGAGCAGAATTTGGATGGTTTCAAGTATTTTCTCTACGACTTCAAAAGCAATCTTGCACAAAGGATAACTCAGACCTTCAAATATGGTAACTCGAAAAGTTTTTTTTTTTTAGAAAAAAAAAAAAAAAAGCTCTTACACTAAATCTTGCAGGTTTCAAGGAGGGAAAACGGGCATGCTGTGGGACCGGGCGGTTCAATGGTGTATTCAGCTGTGGAGGGAAAAGACCGGTGAAGGATTTTGAACTGTGTCGAAATCCAAATGAATTCGTCTTTTGGGACTCTTATCATCTTACCGAAAAGGCTTATAAACAAATGGCGGATGAAATGTGGAGCATAGCCGCTTTCAAGAACCTCTTCTTATGCTATTAAAACCCCACTTTTTTCGTGCATTTTTATGTAAGCTCAAATAAATTCTGCGTAAATTGAAGCATATATTGATCATCGAGTCCATAAACTAATACAGGGGCAAAAAAAATAAGGCATGTACCTCAATACAAAAAAAGCCGTATTCATTTCACCAATAATCGTTACAGCTACATGAGCCATCTCTAAAATGATGAAACCTCTTACTATCCCTCGCGATAATTTCCCTCCCAACAATCTTCGATATAATCTTAAACGCGTTATGACAATCCCCACAAACACGAAGATTCTTGATTATACGAAGGGGTGAGCGGGCAGCACTAGTCAAGAACCCTTGTGCGGCAGCAAGCCTCTCGCTGTGGGCCATAAGAGCCTCCTCTTTGACTTCTTGGTCAACATCATGTAGCACAAATTTCGTCTCAGGTATATAACCAACTTCTTTCATTTGCTGCTTCAACCCTCTAAGCAATGTGTATATCCTGTCATTATCAGGGTGGGACCTATCTCCCGCTCTGTATTCGTGGACCCTACTCCTAACATCTAATGGATTTTGGCCGCTCAATTTCTTCTTCTCTTTCTCTCTTGCAATATCGGATGCGTTGATTGGTATTAAGCCTGCCCTTGATTGCTCGTTTAAACGTGAGGGATCCATTAGCTCAACGAGCTCAGCACAACGGTCACCAAGCTCTGTATTTCCATGTAATCTAGAGAATTTCATCAATGTTTCCCAAATATTTACATCCGGTTTAATTGGCATTTTTTCAATGAATTCTAGAGCTTCATTCAAGAATCCTGCATTTCCGAGCATTTCCACGATGCTGACATAGTGTTCCATAGTTGGAGCAATCCCATAATCTTTTGTCATTGACTCAAAGTGGAGCATTCCTTCAACGATATCGCATAATGAACCACACGCGGAAAACACACCCACGAACATTTGCCCGTCGGGTTTCAGTCCGGAATTTTTGAATTCTGTAAACAAGTCAATGGAATCTTCCCAGAGACCATTCTTTGCAAGCCAAGATATCATGATGTCCCATGACGTGAGATTTCGTTGGGGCATTTGATCGAACACTGAGAACGCGTCTTTCATGGAGCCACATTTAGAATACATTTCAAGAATCGAATTGTGTGTTTTGACTTCAAGATTTGGCATTGACTTTATGAGGTGCTGGTGGACGGATTTAGCCTCGTCCAATGCTTCGTTCTCCCCACAAGCTTGCATCAACGACACGTACCGAGGGAGATCAAGTGCAAGACCCTCGTTGTCAATAACTCCCAAAAGTTCCACCGCTTCCTTTAGTTTTCCTTCCTTGATAAACTCATCAAGATCCTCTATTTTGCTTCTGAATCGAGTCCCTTCAGCAACTTCAGCGGACTCGATTTGAGAACCAGTAATTCCACCAACCCGATTTCCATTCCAATTTTGCTGGTAATTTTCTGCATTTGAATAATTAATCCCATCATTATTACTCTGACCAGAAAAATTTCCTCTACCGACATAACCAATGAACTCTGAGTTCTGCCGAGGGGCATCAAAATTTTGACCGTAGAGCGGATTAGGGTTTCGAATTTGCACACCTCCATCTAATCCTCCACCGAAAACTCGTCTTTCCCGATTACCGGGATCGTACTCCGAACGATTCTGAGCATCACCACCCCCAACCGTATCGGAAACATCCGACCTTCCGCCGCCAAATTCACCGTATCCACCATTTAAATTCTGCCCATAAACCCCTCTAGGGTTTTGGTTCTGCTCGACCCCACCCAAATTCCTGTCGTAAACCCGACCACTTTGATTATAGCTGCCATAATCCGCGTGATTTTCAGCAGTATTCCTCTCGAAATTGTTGTAAAGATCCAATCTTTCGGAAGCCGTGCTGAGATTTTTAACAGAACCAGGAGTGAGAAATGGACACGTAAGCACGGAGGGTCTTGCTCTGCATAAAGGTCTGAGTGATTTGAAGGTGACGAGTGCACTTCTGGCGTACATTTCTGAGTGGACTCGGCCGAGGTAACTCGACAAGTCAGAATATCGGAAAATGGCTGCTTACACAGAGCTGGAGTTTCGAGCTACCAGAAAAAAAGTGCCCTATCAGACGATGTAGTAATTTTTAAACGGGTCGGATGCGGGACCCGACCCGGTTAGAAAATGGAGCCATTTTCAGGCCCGGCCCAACAAGTTTGCAAAACCATTCGTAGTGGATTAGACCATTTTCAAAAGCCCAGCCTTGTTAGTTTGTGACACTATTAATATTATTAAATGAATAAATAATAGTGAAAATACAAAATCAATTATCCAACTAATTATAATATCTTCGATACTAAGTAATGGACATACCCTATTTTGGCAACCAGCGACTCGTTATTCGATTTGAATTGTTCGCTAAAAAATTGTTCGAGCTCGATTTATTAATATAACGAACCAAGCTTGAACATATAATTTTGTGTGACAAGATTCAAAATTTTGCTCGAGTTGATCAAAGAAAAAAATTTAAATATTATGTAAACAAATAAGGTACTCAAGCTCGAATTGATTATTAATCAAATCGAGCTCAAACACAATCCTCAAAATTTGAATAAATTTCAAAACATTTTGAAGAATATATGCTTTCGACTTGACTCAATTTATTTAGACACTTATTTTCCACTACAAAATTACTCACTGCTTGTTATTTTTTTAATTACTTCGAAACACTTATTTATTCAAGTCCATAATAGTTTATACAAATGTACATAATCAAATGATCTATATATATTTCCCGCAGTAGTGGTCTAGTTGGTCAAACAAGAAGAGTGTGACGTCTAATGATTTGAGTTTGATCCCCTCTGCCAACAATTTCTAAATCCAGTCCATTTTTACATGATTCATTTATAGTGATTTACACTTCTCATGCGATTCTCATGCGATTCAGATAGTGTTTTACGAGCTAAATTTACTCGTTCCATATATATATAACTAGGGTTACTTTGTCAAAAGAAAAATCTAGTTATAACTTATAGCATCTCATATACACATAAAATAAAATAAACTAATGCATATATATATATATATATATATATATATATATATATATATATATATATCTCAAGTATATATATATATATATCTCTATGGCCCCCAAATCCCGCCCCCTTATTTATTTTCACTTTTTTTTTTTGCCACTTGTGCTCTGAAACGGCGTCGTTTCAATATATATATATATATATATAAATAAAATAATATGAGTTGTTTGATTTCACCCACGGTTTTCACAAGTTATAAACTAAAAAAATATAAACAATAATTCACAGCCACATTCACAATGGATGTCAATATCTAAGTCGTAATCAGGTGCATTTATTGTGCACAGCTCAGTGTGAAATTATGTACACTTGAAAAATATATTTGACTTTGACAACTACACAATATTTATAAAGATTATTTTTGTTATTTTCGTCCTTCCAAAAACATTTTTATTTAAATCGTTTTCTCTGTCTAGTCGATGTTTTTTATTTTTTAATTCCATATATGTAAATTGTAATCTTCGATTCGTTAATTGTAGCTCATTTCTAAAATTGCAAAAGTTTTAAATTTCAAGTAAATATATATTAAATAATTATAATTAAAATGGTGTGATGGAAGGTGACGTGTATGGGAATCCAATAAGATTATTCCACGTTATCATCTCTCAATTATTTGATTTCTTTTTTGTTTTTATTTTTGTAGAGAGAATATTTATGTATTATAATCGAGGTAACACAAATTAATCAAATGGTCCCTCTCACACAACAAATTTGGCATGGTTGATGGCCTAATAATATCACAACAATTGGCTTGATGACTTTTTAATTTCCACATTTTGTAGAAATTTAAAATTTTGACTATAATTAAATAAAAATTAATGTCAATGTAAAATAGAAACATATGACATTTTCCTTGGTCCTAATATATTTCCTCGTTTCACAAAAAAAAAAAAAATACATTTCCTCCTCCGGAAGTTCTTTTTGCGTGCAATAGATATCATTCGTACGGTGATAATTTAAAATACCCGAAAAAAACTAGGTTCTGCAATACATTTCTACTTTTACGTGATATAATGAAATTATCAATGATGAAAATCGAAACAGAAACCGAAATCGAAACAAAAACAAGCACCTAACAACAATAATAGTAATAAATTCATAAGCACTACTAACTTTTCAAAATTATTTGTATTAAAGTGCGGATAATAGGGCACAAAATCATGGTAATTTGACCATAAACAAAGTTCACATTTGAATCCATTTGTAATTAACTAATTAATTATTTATTTTTTATAATGAATAATACATTTGTATATTGTTTACCTAACCCTTAAGTTGTCATTTCATCATGATTAATATTCTTAAACTAATTAATATTATTCCTGATGCTGTTCCAGTTTCACAAATCAGTTTTAAATAATAAATAAAAATAAAAATAAAATAAATAATAGCAATAAAATAAGGAACTTTGTTATTGGGCTAATGATTGGGCGTGTAAGCACGTACTTGCAGAAACACGTGGCAAAGTTGTCAGCTCTAAATTACTATTTACCAACATATATCAAATTAATAATTTATAAACATTTTGCTTATGGGGTGATGTAACGTTTTGATAAGTATAAGAAATTTTATGATAAGAAGGAATATTTAATTAAAATATTTAATTATTTATTTGTTTTTTCAAAAGCCCACGAAAGTTGCAGTCTGTATATAAAGAAAGAGCAGCCGAATTGTTGGTCAATTTCCACTAGGGAATCACTTTTTGATCCCCCCCAAACACTTTGGAATTTGGTAAATCGAATTTCAGAAAAAAATGTCATTTCATTTATCTATATATATTTCAGAAAAATAAACAATTATAAATTGGTTTGTATTTAAAAATATTGGGGCCATAATTAAACAATACTTGCTCTGTTCTATAATAACTGTCTTTTTTTTAAAATATTTTTGTTCCATATTATCTCTCACTTTACATTTCCAATACTGCATTAAATGCATTTTTTCCTATTTTAACCTTATTAATTCAACTATAAATATTAACTCTTTCTTATCACATCATTAAATAATTAAGGTTATTTTAGTCTTTCTAATGTATTTTACCTAAAATCAAGACACATTTATTGAGTTTCTTAATACTTGTGCAAAACAAAAACGACAGTTAATTGGGTTTCTTACAACCAATTTGTCATTGAAGTCAGTGGCGAGTCCAATGATTTGTTATATGATGAACTTAAATTTTTTGGGGTTAGAGCAGCAGGCCCGAAATAATTTTAGGATTTTTTTGACAAAATCATAAAATACGGAAATAAAAAAAAGATAAAGAAAAAAGGTTTAGAGTTTTTTTTTTTTTTACATTAATTTGAATTTTTGGTGAACTGATGAATAAATGTTGATTTTTTTTTTTTTTGCTTTAATTGAATTTTGTGTGGGTTATTGAATAAAAAATAGGGCGTTTATTTATATTAATTAGAATAATGTGTGAACTAATTAATATATTCACATTTACGAAATTTCAACCGAATATTAAAAAGAAAAAAAAAAATTTGCCACTTTACACTTAACAGTAGTATGAACCGGTCATCTGGCATTTCAGCATATGCTGTAACCAGCTGGCATATTCTGGATGGGTCTACGTGGCATTAGATTTGTGACTGGAGCATCTTTTTTTTATTATTATTTTTTATTTTAGTAAATTAAATCTATTATACACAAATTAAAAGGTTATTTTTGTTTCTATATTGATATATTTTACGTCATTAATAGCATAATAACAATACTATTTATAAATTGAATATCAAACTTCATTTCTACCAATTTGTTTTTTTTTTTATTTATATTGAGCCATACTTCAATAATTAACTGATATCCAACATAATTTTATACTGTCACAAAATTAATTAATTAAACTCAATTTTAATTAAATTGATAAGGTCAAACACAAGGTCAAAGGGACATTCAATAAATCTCACTTAATCTAATTACCAACTCCAAAAATATTGAAAATTGTGCTCATAAAACATCATAATAATTAATTGATAATTTTTATTATTTAAATTAAATTTAATAAATTGAACTTTTCGTAGTGATTAATAAAATAAAATAAAATAAAAAATGTTTCACAGATCAATTTAAATATCGTTTTGCCCTAATCTATATCCTAGCTGTAAATACGGATCCTTCAAATACAAAATACACCAATTATTATATTTATACAATATAAAAAAAGGAAAAATAATAAATAAATAAAAATAAATCAAATACCTTATTCTCTCTCTACACGCCATTTTTTTTTTTCTGTGGACGCAGTCGCCGGAGCTCTGCTTCTCCATTTCTCTACCCGATCTGCGTACAGAGACGCCTCCATTCAATCTCAAAATAATTTTCAGCATTTTTCTCTATTTTTTTTCCTCTTTGAATCGTTTCAATTTTTGTGATATGTTTTTTTTTTTTTTCAGTGAAAACCGAGTCTCATTGTAGTTGTTAAGTTGGAGAAGGAGTCTTTTTAAAAAATTGGATGCGTGTATATATATGAACTGAATTATCGGAGGGAGCTAGGGTTTGTGTTGCCGAGTTGACTCTTTACCTGGTTAGAGAGAATTGTATGCGCTAATTAGGTTTTTGTGGAAGAGCCGAGCTGAAGCTCGGGAATGGGAAGCATGGCTTCGGAGAATGAAGAGAGGTTTCAGATCAATGTCCAATCGAATTACGGCGGCGGCGGCGGCGGCAGCTATTTGCAGAAATTCAGGCTTTATGAAACTCGTTCGGTATATTTTTATTTGATCTTGTCAATTATTGCTTTTGTTTTCTTCTGCTTTTTTTTGTTTAATGATGAAGGATTTGTTGATTTTGTTTTGTTGGATTTCATCGAAAACCGGGGGGCCTGGTGTTAACTTTTATGGATTTTGTTGTTGTGGAAACAATTGATTGGTTTGTGTTAATGAGTAAAAGCTTGTATGTATCTTTGGGAAAAAAATCAATCTTTGGAAGTATTAATAACTTCTGTAGATTTAATCGTCGAAAGAGTCAAATTTATTCATACAAATTTGTTGGATCGGAGTTTAACATCTTCTAGTTTTCTTTATATTGTCTGTGTATGTTCGATTTATGTTGAGAGCAGGTGGTATAAGATAGGACAAGAGAGGTTGTTTAAAAACCCTAGAAAATTAATAATGACACAGAATGTAAGGATGTGTGTTCTTTTAGATTTGCATTGATGATCGTTCCGTATCCACGTATGTAGCACTTTCATGTGTATGTAACACTTCATTGATTGCACTTTAAATTGAGACTGCGTGTTTTATTCATTACACGTTTAATTTCTTAATCCGCTACATCGACAATGTACGATACTCTGTACACGTGTCCGGTGCGTGTTTATAGTGAATTATCAGAATCTGTATTAGTTTTAATTGACACCTGACTCGCTAGGGTTTTCATGATTTTATGGTGAGTAAGCGACAATGACTCAAAAGGAAGGAGATAAATACTACCCTACATGAAGTTCATATATATATTTTTTTTATTTTGTTTCTACTATTATTATTAATTTTCTATTCAATGTTGTTTTCTGATTTTAAAACTGGCTTATCAATATGGTGCTTGCTTTTGTAGAACTTTTATATGATTGGCCGTGACAAAAGTAGAACATGCTGGAGAGTCTTGAAGATCCACAGATTAGAGCCGTCCGAGCTAATCGTCACTGAGGACCCTACAGTATATTCAGATATCGAATGCCACGACCTCCTCAAACGAATTCATGAAGGAAACAGGTCTACTGGTGGGCTGAAGTTTGTCACCTCCTGCTATGGAATTGTTGGTATGTAACATCTTCGATATTTCATGTTCATGCCTCAATGAAAAAAGAAAAATAAAAAAAAAAGTCAGAGAAATAATTTCTTTTTTTGTGTTTTTTCCTACGACTATAGGGTTCATAAAATTTTTGGGGCCTTATTACATGCTTCTTATCACTAAAAGAACGAAGATTGGCACAATCTGTGGCCATGCAGTATATTCCGTCGCCAAGAGTGAGATGATCCCAATACCCAATGCTACCGTGCGGTCAAATATGGCTTATTCTAAGATTGAGAACAGGTCTTTTGCCATTTCATATGTAAATGTAAATTCTTAATGTTATTAAAGTGGACAGAACATGAAATTCAATATGCTTGTTATGTTTTTGTATCTTCATCATTTGTCGTATATGTAGTTCTGTGATTTGTGTCGCATTCATTTGATGTTATAGTTTATTTACCAATTCTACACAGCGGAGGTAACCTATGTAATATTTCCCGATACACCCTTCTGTGAATGTCTGTCATGTGAAGCTAATGAATTTATACCTGTATTAGTATTTGCCTATTGTTTCCTGAGGCAAACAATAAAATGCAATGATCATATGATCATTTTAGAGATGTGCTTAGTGCATCCTCAATAGTTAAATTGTTCATAGTGCCCGTTGCCAGTTTTTCCCAGCAAATGTGCAGGGGGCAAACCGCATTGGTGTCCTGATGTTAATTTAAGATGTTGAGTGAGACAAGGTATCATCAGATTTGAAGGGGGATATTCATTGTCTTTTGTTTTTTATGTTATTTATAGGTGAACTTATATATCTTCTCTTTCTATTAGACTTCTACTTACTTGGTTTGCCTCTCTCTTATTTTGATATCTAGATACAAGAAGCTCTTACGCGCGGTGGATCTTACCAAAGACTTCTTTTTTAGCTACTCCTACCATGTTATGCTTAGTCTTCAAAAGAACCTAAGCCATCATGAAACAGGATTAATCCTCTATGAGACAATGTTTGTCTGGAATGAGTTCTTGACTCGTGGAATTCGAAATCAGCTCAAGAACTCGATTTGGACTGTGGCCTTGGTTTACGGATTCTTTAAACAGGTATTGTTAATAAAAGTTCTTGATTGAGGTTAAATTAGATTATTCGTCTAGTTTCTTGTTATATCTCGAGTCCTACATGATTATGCATTCAAATGATGATTCAAATGATGATGTTTAATTTTAATGTTGTAACAGATTGAACTTTCAATATCTGGGCGTGAGTTCAGTTTGATTCTTATTGCAAGACGATCCCGCCATTATGCTGGAACCAGGTGACAAAAAAATCCTAAATCATTTTACAATTTTTATTTCTTGCTCCAAAATGCATTAAATGTCGGCACGTTGCTTATTGATTTGACTTCAACAATCCATTTCTTATGTGTGTTTTGGGACTGCAACACTATATTAACTTGCTATCAGATTGAGATAACTCTTCTTTTGCTCTACAGATACTTGAAACGAGGAGTAAATGAAAAGGGTCGTGTAGCGAATGACGTTGAGACCGAACAAATTGTGATTGAGGATGTGCCTGAAGGAAGTCCCAAACAAATATCCTCTGTTGTGCAGAACCGGGGTTCAATTCCCCTCTTTTGGTCGCAAGAGACCTCGCGATTAAATATTAAACCTGACATCATATGTAATACTTCTGACACACAGTTAATGTACGTACGTAATTGCTAATTCGTCACTCTTTCACTGACTCTATTCCTTTGTCCAGTATCAAAGAAGGACGACAACTATGAAGCCACCAAACTTCACTTCGACAATCTGGTTAAGAGATATGGCAATCCTATTATCATATTGAATTTGATCAAGGTAGACTTTCATTTGGTGCTAATGTATAATATGTCGATATGTTTTCCTTACATTTGTTTTTGACGTTGCTGAGTGTATTATCATGTTTACATTTCGTTCTTGATTGCCAGACGCGGGAGAAGAAGCCCAGAGAATCTATCCTCCGCGCAGAGTTCGCTAATGCTATTGAAGTTCTTAATAGGGATCTTGTGCGTGAAAATCGTTTGAAGTTCCTCCACTGGGATTTGAGTAAACACTCCCGAAAGTAAAATTTGCAACTCTTCATAATCTTTTTGCTCATTTTTCAAACTTGAAAAAAGTTTCGACTTAATAACTATACCCGTCTATTTTGCAGCAAAGCGGCTAGTGTGTTGCAGTATTTAGTCAAAGTGGCAACTAATGCAGTGGAGTTAACTCACATCTTCTATTGTCAAGTACTGCCATCTTCAAGGTGAGAAATAGAAACTGCCCTACCTCGACTCTACGTCGGAGTATATTTTAATCATATTTGTTGCTCTTTGTCGCTTTAATACAACCTCGATATCCACGAAACTAAAATATTACCCAACTATTTCCAGCCAACTGCCATGCAGCAACAACTGCAACGGTCATTACGCTGACGAGGAAGCAGACAGCTCGAATGGGAGTTACTTTGTCAGACCACCAATATTCCAAAAAGGGGTTTTGAGAACAAATTGTATCGACTGTTTGGATCGAACAAACGTCGCGCAATACGTCTATGGATTGGTTGCTCTTAGTAAACAGTTGTATGCATTAGGATACATCGATGTTCCTACCATTAATTTGGACTCCTCGTTGGCTGATGACTTGATGAAGACTTATGAAGCTATGGGCGACACACTTGCTCTACAATACGGCGGATCTGCCGCACATAACAAGGTAGATATTACTTTTATCTTGCACAATTCATCCCGTTTTTTTTTTTTTTTTCTTTTTTCTAATTTTAAAGAGCTACAATAAATTGTTCTTTGACTATGAGCATTTTTTTTCCTTGATTATTTCCGTAAACAGATATTCTCAGAGACAAGAGGTCAGTGGAAAGCAGCAACGCAGTCGCAAGAATTTCTGAGAACTCTTCAGCGTTACTATAGTAACGCTTACATGGATGCTGAAAAACAAGATGCCATAAATGTGTAAGCCGATCGGTCCTCCTTCCGATTTTTGTTATGAAAGATTTTTCATTTATCTGATTCTTTGATGTTTCTTTTTCATCATTAGTTTATGTAGCAAATTAAATAACCCACCCGAGTTCCGTGTCAAATATAATGTTCTGCTTGCAGCAAGATTAAGCTTAATTTTTTTTCGTGAGCAGGTTCCTCGGACATTTCCAACCACAACAGGGTAAACCAGCTCTGTGGGAGCTCGATTCTGATCAGCATTACAATGCTGGAACACGTGGTTTAGGTTTTGCAGAGAAAATGGCTAGGTAATTTTCAAAAATTTGTGAAACAACCATTTCACTTTTTTATTTAGTCGAGTTCTTGAAATAAAACCGGACAAGTGCTATAACTCGTCGTCTTGGAATTGTTAAGAATATTATAATGTTCCGAGTATAGAGAAATGAGCTAGAATTACATCCCGTTTATTTACATGTTATCTATGAGTACTAATCATTGGCTGAGAGGATTCTTTCCGTTCGGTTTGTCTGCGTTACGTTTGTGATAAATTGAATTTTGCAGGTCGATAATGAAAAGGTCCCTTTCCGATGGCAACATCCTTTGTGATAACAACACACCTATTGTTGGATCGAAGATGAATAATTCTCGCATCCCTTTGCCTGCAATTCAAGCGTCTGATATCAGTATTTCGGATTCAAGCCCAGAAATGTCGACTTGTGGAAGTAATGATATATCTTATGCCAGGTAGGATTTCCTGACGTTTGATAATTAAAATGATGCTTCGACTGCGTTTGTCAACACCTTTTGGATAATTGTCCCACTCAAATTCGAGTTTTGGCTATATCGACTCTGTAATAATAACGTCTGTCGTTTGTAGGTATACGCCCTCAATGTCTAGTAGACAGCTTTTCTCCGAGCAGCCGCAGGAGTATCTAGGAAACGACAGCATGTTTTTTTTCGAGCATGGAGATTCATACAACTGTTCGAATTTTCTTGATGTTGAATCTCTGTCTTCATCTGGGAATTCGTGCGAAGAAGAAAATTACGAAAGGTAAATTCTTTGTGTGTTTTCATAAAACATTGTATCATTAAATGATATTTATGAAATAATAAAAAAAAGGGACGTTGTATTTTCTTTGTAGATCGTCGCTCATTGAGTCTCAATCTGCTGGCTTGTCATCGGGTGAGATAAAAGTCGAAGCGGGCCCATCTTATCGGTCTGGATCGAGCTTAAAGGTCGGTCAGTTCACATACAGCATAGCATGTTTGTTTTAACTTCCGATTATTAACAATAAAGTTATATTTTTATTTTAGGGAAAGGAACTAGCTAGTGGTGATCTAAGCGACGGCGGTGCAAGTAGCTCCAACGATTTATCGGGATTTTCCGAAGAATTTGTGAACTGGGTTAATTACGGAGATGGGCTTTTTCCTTGAAAAAAGTTGACGGTCTCAAAATTCTTACCGAAGCTGATATTTTCGGCCATTGTTTGATTTCGATTAATCCATCCGAAGGATGTGAATCAGTAACTGGAAATAAATGGCAAAAAAAAAATTAAAACAAAAAAAAAAAAAAACAAAAAAAAAAAAAAAACAAAAAAAAGGTGATATAGCTAGACAAAAGACATGGTTAAGAAGTTTTGGTACATAGCATAGATTTTTTATTTAATGAAGGTTTTTTTTTTTTTTTTTTTTTCTTTTTAAACTGTACATTTTGCAGAACTAATTTACCGGTTTAGTAAATTATTCAAAAACCAGAGAGTACAAATAGTTTTTACTTCCATTGTAAATATTCCTAGGTTTATTTTTACTGGAGTTCTGTTTCTCTCATTTTTATGTTTTATGTAATATATTAATTGTTGACTTTCTGACGTGAAGCATATATAATTTTTTTTCTCTCCATTTTCAATTTTCTTGTCTTTTAAAATGTCACCAATATCAATTCTCAAACAAAAGATTACCCGAGTTATTTGTTTTATGCACTTGTACTATGTGATCGAACTTCGTTTATCGGTTATGGTGACGTAAGCGGTCTAAGTCTCGATATGTCTTCGTTTCTAGAAGTGGAACTGTTTTCTTGAGATGCAAATTTCATTAGAGTCTTGACCTGATTACCTTCTTATTTGTGCATGCTGCATTTAACGGGTTTTATGTTAAACAAGCTTTAGCTAACCTAAAACCTCGGATCGAGGTCGAATCATAGAACTCATGTCTTCTCACCTTGTGTCCAAAAATATATTATTTGGGGGTGTTCAGGAAAAGTTAAATTAGTAAATTTGTTAAATTGTATGATTTTTAATTTTTTAAAATTTTAAAATTTTTATTATTTATATTTCTATAAAATGATTATGCCCAACCACAACAAAGCCCAAAACCTCAACCAATACATATTATACGACGCCGTTTGCCAAAACCCCTAAAAACTTAAAACCCTCGTCTTCTTTACTCGCAGTTTCCCCCAATTCATACGTCCCAAAAATGGCTGCCGTTAAAAATTCCGGCCCCCCAGTAGACACCGCCAACCTGCACTCCGACGTCGTTTCTTTTGCCTCCTCCCTAGGGTTCTCCTCCTCCGCCGGAGCCACCGCTCCCTCCTCCGGCTTCAAAGACTCCGATTCCAGAAAAACCCGCCCCAACAAGCCTCAGTCTCAAAAACCCCCAAACCCCCGGAAGAATCCACCCCCGAGAAACAGTAAATTCGAAAACCCTAAAACAAACACCAGACGAAACACTACAGCACCGCCTCAAATTAACAAGTTCGACGCCGCCGACGACAGCAATTTGTTGCCGGAAAACGATAACAGCAAATTTAAGAATCTTCCGAAGCTCCCGCTTGTGAAATCAAGTATACTCGGGGTGTGGTACGACGATGCTTCTAAGATGGAGGATGAATTTATTGGAAAAGACAAGAAAATTGAGTACAAAAATGTCGATGAGTGGAAGGGTTTGGTGAAGACGAAGAAGGAATTGGGCGAGCGGCTTTTGGCGCAGTATGCGCAGGAGTATTTGTCTTCGCGAGGGCAGCATGGAGATATTAAGATGCTTATTGCTACTCAGAGATCGGGTACAGCTGCCGATAAGGTTTCGGCACTGTCTGTTATGATTGGGGATAATGCAGTTGCTAATTTGAGATCAGTT